TACCACTGAGCCACACCCCAGCCCCTCACTGGGGAATTCTAGGCAGGAGCTCTACCACTGAGCCACACCCCAGCTCCTCACTGGGGGATGCTAGGCAGGGGCTCTACCACTGAGCCACATCTCAGCCCCTCACTGGGGGATTCTAGGCAGGGGCTCTACCACTGAGCCACACCCAGCTCCTCACTGGGGGACTCTAGGCAGGGGCTCTACCACTGAGCCACACCCCCAGCTTTACCTGCCTCTCAGCATCTCTACCTCAATTGTCTTCGCTCCCTTAGCTCCTGCCACCTGCTGACTACTTCTGCAGTCCAAGCTCCCGTTCCTCGGGGACCCAGGAGCTACCCTGTGAAGGTTTACATTCAGCCTGATTGCTTTCCTGGTGGCTCTCCCAAGGACAGAGGGTTAGTTTCATTGCTGTATGGGTGCTCTAAGAGGACTACCTGCATAGGTGAGGGTGCAGAGTGATGGAAGGCATGAGAATTAGAAGTTCAAGGTCTTCTTTGGCTCCATCAAGGCCGGTCCAGGCTACATGAGAGCTGGTCTCAACAGACAAATACCGAAAGGGCATGGCTCAGTGGGTAAAGGGGTTTGCCACCAAGCCTGCATTTGATTCCCTAGACCCCATGGTGGAAGGCATGAACTGGCTCCTGCAGTTGTCTGCTGACCTCCACATGTGTATCCCCCTGCCCCCTGTGAAATAAACACGTTAAAAATATTTTGTTGAGCTGGGGCCAAGTGGAAGCTGGTTGGCCATTGGAGGTGCTATGTTGGGAGGTTATGTAGTTCTCAAGGGAACCTGGTTAGTTAGGAAATCAGAATGAATGGTTATAAAGTAAGGTCACTCTATACTTGGCTTCTTCTGCACATGGCTATTTCCTCCTCTTCTGTCTGCCCTACTGTGAGAAGCCAAGACCTTCACAGAGGCAGAATACAGGGAGCTGCCTAACCTTGGACTTGTAGTTTCTAAAACCCAGCTAAACTGATTCTCAATCTCTCTCTCTCTCTCCTTTTTGAGATATGGTATCATGTAGTCCAAGCTGGCTTTGAAGTTGTTAAATAACCAATCATGATATGGAATTCCTGATCCTCCCTAATTCTGGGATTATAGGCATGCAACCATGCCCAATTTCTCCTCGTCCTTCTCTTCTTCTTAAAAACACACTATCTAGCCTCTAGTATTTTATTATAGCAACAGAAGATAGACTAGTATGCTCTAGAATGAGCCACACTTCTATGGATCACTCCCGAGTTCTTTTATGCTCTGATTTTCTGAGAGTTTGAATCAAGATCATGGACCAGCAACCTGTTTGTCTTAGAGTTGAGAAAGGAAGGCTCAGTGGTCCCTCAGGAATGCTCCCTTCTGCTGGCAGTGAAGCTGCAGGGCTCTGCAGGGATCATTGGAGAGAGCACCAGCTGCTGTGTCCTCTCCCCCAGGATAGGCACAGCTATTTAGAGAGCAGCAGCTGGGACTGCCACTCAAGGCTAGAGGCAGCAAAACCTTGGGTCTCTGCCCCTGACCTTTGGGTGACCCTGGGCAAGCCACCCCTCACAAGACTTTGATTTCTGTCTGTAGAATTGGTTTAGTGGCATTTTTTTCCTCAGGGGCTTGAAGTTGGGTGTGAGTGAAAACTTCCTGGGAATCTGGGGTATTGGGGTTAGGGTGAGATCTCTGCATCACCGTGCTCTGGCAGTAGCCCCCAGCCTCTAGCTTTGGGGGCTCTCATCCCTGCATCTTGACAGGAGGCCAGGAGGGCAAGCCTTCAGTACACTTACTCAAGGTGTCTAGGAGGGCATCAGAGAGGCTGAACCCTGGGTTGGGCAGGTCTTGGGATGTTACCAGCTGCCATGCTGGAACTCAAGGGGCTCTACCCGCTCCTTCATTCTGGTGACTGTGTGAATGGTGACACATAACTAGTCCATTTCTGCTGCTCACTGTGCGACTTCAGGCAGGCCATACCCCCCGAGTATATACTCTGTTTTCTTCTTTTCAGACCCAACTAACTTCAAATTTGCTTTGGAGAGGAGGATAACCTCGAACTTCTGATTCTCCTGTTTAAGCTGTACTTCCACTCAGGTATTATGTGGTGCCAACCCTAACCCTCCAACCCACTGAGCTACACCCCCAGCACCTCACTTTTCTTTTCTCTCCTCCCTCCCTCTCCCCCTCTCCCTCCACTCTTTCTTTCTTTCTTTCTTTCTTTCTTTCTTTCTTTCTTTCTTTCTTTCTTTCTTTCTCTCTCTCTCTCTTACTCTCTTCCTCCCTCCCTCCCTCCCTTCCTTCCTTCCTTCCTTCCTTCCTTCCTTCCTTCCTTCCTTCCTTCCTTCCTTTCTTTCGAGACAGGGTTTCTTTGTATAGCCCTGGCTGTCCTGGACTCACTCTCTCACTCTGTAGATCAGACTGGTCTTGAACTCACAGAGATACGCCTGCCTCTGCCTCCCCAGTTCTGGGTTTAAAGGCAAGCACCACCTCTGGGCATACTTCTCAATCAAGGTAGATTGGCCCCCCTGGAGCAGAGCCAAAGCTTCCCAGCTGCCCACCACTGGGGTGTTTTGACGTCAATGAGCGCAGGGGCCCAGTGGCATGCAAGATGCTGGTAGCTGGCAAAAACCTTCGTTTCTGCCTGATGGAAAGGAAGGGGCCGCCCGGTGGGGCTCAGCTGGAGCCTGGCAGGGTGGCAGATGTCTGATTGCTGTGGAGCAGGACACAGGCCTCTAGGGGAGATGTACCTTGTTACTCCCTGACTTCATATAGGAAGTGCCTCTGTATAAAACACTGTGTCAATCAGGTCAGGCCACACAATCCCCAGACCAGTCTCAGGCGCCCACCTGTCCCCGCCTGCGGCTCCTTTAGGCCGTGAAGGTGAGTGGGTCTCCATGACTGATGGGGAGAGAGATGCACCGAGCACCAAGATACGCACCTTGGGCGGCACGAAGAACTCCAGGCGGAACCGCTCCCCGGCCACAGCCCTCCGAAGCAGCAGGCGGCACTTCTGCCACTGCGCGGCGCCTCCAGGGCCCGAGGCTGAGTCGTCTGCCACCATGAAGCGCAGCGCGCCCTCACGCTGGATGTCCACTAACTCCACCTTGGCCGCCAGGGTCCTCGCTAGCCGCAGGCGTCGCGTCCACTTGTCCCGAGGCTCCGACGCGGGCTCGGTGGCCTTGAGAGTGGCCCCAGCGTCTGGCTCTGGGGACGCCCGCCGGTGCCACAGGTCGCGCACTCCGTCCACCACGCACAGGCTCATGTTACGAAGAGAGAAGCCCTTGCGGACACGAGCCTTGGTGGCCGCGTGGGCAGACACGTCCTCGGAGCTGCGGGAGTGGCCGTAGGCGGCAGCTTTGAGCGCCGAGGTCACGGAGGTCACGGCAGGCTCGGGCTCCATGGTGTCCGCTGCTGTCCCCAGCACGCGACGCACCTCCTCGCTGAAGACAGCCAAGAAATTGGCTGCGAAGTGGCGGGAGAATGAGGTCCCGGCGTCGGGTGTGTCGTAGGTCGGGTTGTCCCGAAGGAAGCGGCAGAATTTGTGAGCGAAGTCCACAGCAGCCACCTGAGCGTGCAGCTCACAGAACTGCCGCCAGTCGGGGACTGGGGCGGGGGCGGGGGCCGAGCCGGGGGTGGCACCATTCATGGCTTTGGTCCCATGGCAGCCTCGGGCTGAGAGGAGAAAAGTAGCTGTTTCTTTTTTGTTTTGTTTCCTTTCTTCCTTTGAGACAGAGTCTCATACAGCCCAGACTAGCCTCGTTTAGTTCAGGCTACCCCTATGTGGCAGAGGATGACCTTGAACTTCTGATCCTCCTGTCTCCACATCTTTTGCGCTGGGATGCCAGGCATGGGCCACCACCGGCGGTTAAAACAGGACTTTGAATCCTCTGGTCAGTTTGTGTGTCCACAGTGCTCCCTTGGGGATACCCCGCCCTGCAGGCGCTGAGTGTAAGAAGCTTACACTCAGTTTCAGAGTCTTTAACTCAGATCGTCCTGACCCTGGGACTTTGGGGTCATCTTCCCAAACAGCCCAAAGATGACTGTTTTTATTATTGGTGTTGAAGGCCCCACCCCTTAGGAATATTTTTTTTCATGGTAGCCTGCATGTCGTTCCTTCCAGAGCTCCCATCCCCACTGGACCAATCTAAAAATCCCAGCTGTCCCTTCATTCCAGCTTCTTCCACTTTGTTGCTAGGCAACTCCATCTTTTACCACTTAGGATGGGTAAACGGCAGAGAGCATGTCAGGTAGTCATCTGGGGGACTTGCTTCCTGTCCCCTGTCATGGCCAACATCCCTGGAAACACAAACCCAGCCAGTTCTGCCTCCTTCCTGCATATTACTGGATGGTTTTACCTCTGACTCACACCCCAGCCCCTCACTGGGGATTTCTAGGCAGGTGACCACTCAGCCACAGCCCAGCCCTTCCATCCATTTACCTTTGATAAGTTTGACCTTGTTAGTGAAGAAAAAAAAAATAACCAAGGAAATTAAGTAGGGAGACACAGGGCTCCCTGACACTCTCTGCTGGAGAGGTTAGGTTATTATGGGTGCTGTGGGGAAGCACTGTCTTTCTAAGGCACTGTAGAGGCTCGTGTGCTCACCTGTCTTCACGGGATCCCAGTGGCTCCTGGTCCTGCTCCTGCCCCGCAACCCTTGGGAACCCCACCTCAGGTCTCCCTTTTGTAATCAGGTCCTCTAATTAAACTCTAGGTAAAAAATAGCTATTCAACTTCTCGACAGCATCCTTGGGGCCTCAGGTGGAGGGCATAGGGGACTCTCCTCCTGTTCCTCAGGCCACAGCAGCAGTCATTAAGTACAGGATCCACCGGGGCAGAAGTGCCAGAGACAGGCTTCATGAAAAGGAATGACTGTAGTGGGACATATCAGGGCTTTAGAAATCAGAGGATAGTGTGCGAAGTCCACGAAGGTGGAGAGAGATGGGTGCTCGGGCCCTCAAGAGCGTCACTCAGGCCTGACCCTTACTCTGTCTTGCTCCCTAACTCCTACTTACCCTTTCATAGTGCAACCTCCTTGATTTCCTCTGCCCAGGCTGGCACAGCGTGTCCCTCTCTGGAGTGTCCCTCGATCAAGCTACTCCTTGCACCACGTTCTGTGTGTGTATTTAAGCCTATCTCCCCAGCTGGCATCTAGAAGGCAGGCCTGACACTTGCTGTTTCCCTGGAGATAAAACCGGCTGCACCCGCCAGGTTCTACCACCACTACCGCTGCCGCCGCCATCACCATGGCCTCTAAGAATGATGGCGCTAAACCCATGAGGGCCTGCCCCTAGTCCATGCACTCCCCCAGCAAGCCATCTCCTGCTCTCCATGTCTGGTGTGGGTGAGCGTGAGTGGAAGACTGTAGGCATCTGTGGAGGTGGCCAGGAGGTCAGCCCTAGCACTGGGTTTTCAGGGGCCTGTCTTTGCCCCTCTCTGCTGGCCGTGAAAGCCCCTGAAGGGAGGAGGAATGGAGTCCCAGGGCCTATGTAGGGTCCCACCTAAGCCAGTGGAAATTGGATTCGGCCAAGATTCTAGCAGGTGTGTTGTGGCCTAAGCAGGAGACTGGCTAAGACTTTCCTGCCCTCCCAACCCTACTGGCAGGCCAGCAGCTTATGGGTCCAGGTGTTAGTACAGCTGTCTGGTGTCCCACACTATGGAGAATAGTGGAAGCAGGGCATGGTGGCACATGCCTATAATCCTAGCACTGGGAGAGTGAGGCAGGAGGTTTGGAAGTTTTAAGTTACTCTGAGCTACATAAAAAATTCCAGACCACTTGGGTTATATAGCAAGATTTATCTCCAAATGAAAAAATTATCATCAAGGGAGACCAAAAAGCACCCTACACTTACAGACAAGGAGCCCAGAACACACTTGGCAGAGACGGGGGGGG